TGTAGAACCCAGGCGGACTACTTAAATTAGGTACCAAAAGTACACGTGTGGCTAGTTGTATCCTCATGAAAATTGATATAATATCATATTTATCTGAATAAAGCCAAGTGCCAGGGGCCTAAGTGGTCACCTTAATATTAAAAAAATATATATATATATATAGTTTTTTTAATATAAATCAAATTAATTTGCTTTATTACTCTTTGTATTAGTTTTTTTTTTTCAAATATATTTTGAATTTTTATTCCTTTCAAATCACTTAAATTTAAAAAAATTTATCTTCTTAAAAATATCTAATTTAAAATACTCATACTACTCTTGCACTTTTATTACTCACAATGGTTTATCTAAGTATATGTTTAAATATATACTTATTGCTAAAGCTAAAAAACACTATATTATAAATCTAATTATAAATAAACCTATTTAGTTTCATACTAGTTTATAACTTCATAATTTAATTCTAATCAATCTTAAAGTTATTAACATAAATAAATCAGAAAATAAATTTTCTACAAAAAAAATTTTAATTAAAGATATTAAGTTTTACAAGGTTTTAAAACTTAGTAAAAGTGTTAAAACATTTTCTAATTTAGATAGCATATTAGCTAGTCCTTCATGATTATTTAATACTGTTAAACTTAGCAGTGATTTAGCTAATATGTCATTTGAATTAGATAATTCTTACAATAATCCAAACACATTCAATTTAAATCCAAGTTCTCAAATTCTTAATAAACTTGAACCTATATTATATGATTATCAGGAATCTTCTAATAACCTTTTAAAGAATCTTGTTTATTTTGATAATATCTAAAGCTTTTCTTCTAATAAAAAAATTGTTTAAAAATATAATGAATTTTCTAATAAAGCTTATGCTAATTTGATGGTTTTGGTTACTAAATATAAGCTAAATAATATAGCTAGAAATATTATTATTTCATTTTTTAATAAGCATTCAAATAATTCAAAATTATTAATATCAAAAAATATTGAGCAAGAAAAGAAGTTTATAAATAATCTCAAATCTAACTTGTTATATAAAAAAAACCAAAATATTAGAACTTGATAATACTAAGTATTTTTTATATTATATACTATTAATTAGCTATATTAAAAATATATTAGAAATTCTTAATATAGTACAAAATTTAGAATTTGAATATAAAGAATTATATAAAACAACTAAGGTATATATAACTTTTAATATTATTTATAAATACAATATTTATTTTGTTTTTGCTAGTAGCTTCAGAGTTTATTACTTACTGCAGGCATGATACTTGTCATTTAGAAATAGTTTTCATATGCTATTTGCTGACAAGCTCAGAGTTTATCACTTACTAAAAAAATTAGTACTGTGTAAAGACAGTAAAACTGTTAGTAACTTTAATAAAAAATATATACTTTTTTGTATTAATACAGATATATTTTCTTTTCTCTCACCTTTTGCCAACCTCACCAAAATTTTCGAAAAAAGTGGGTGATTTGGCTTACTTTCTTCAAAAGATTGGCATTGTTTACACATACCTAATTTGGATAAACTTAGTAGAATACAACTACATGTTTGTTTTGTTTATTAACGCAATGCTACGATACAAAGAAAAGACTAGTACTCTTGTTTAGAAGATATCCAACTCTGGTAATATGTTCAGAACAAGTATATAACAATAAAGTAAAACTTTACAAGTAAGATATATTGATAAGTTGCAATTAATATATAATTTTTTAGGCCTTGGTACAGACATAAATATGCTAACAATACTGTTTTTCTTTTTGTTCTGTTTTTTTTTTTTAATATTTGTGTTTTCTTTTTTCTTGCTTTTTTTTTTTTTTTTTTTTTTTTTTTTTTTTTTTTTTTTTTTTTTTTTTTTTTTTTTTTTTTTTTTTTTTTT